TGTGTTGAATCCTCAAGTACAGTTGAACTCCATCCTTTGAAACAAAGGCATTTTACATTTGCAGATAATGTATTTTTATTCTCATAGTTTGTTTTTAAATTTACTTGCAGCAGTCAAGTTAAATAAAACTTGTTACACAATTCTGTTCTCTGTGAGGGGAAGGTACCTGGAATGAGATTTTACTGGGAGTTTCTCATTCCAGATATGCTTAAATTGGAGCCTCTCTGCCTCCTTGGTGAGTAGAGGGAGAAAGGGGAGAGAGTACGTCTGCAATTCTGGGGTACACACAGAGATCTCTCCCCACCCTGGCACCACTCAGGCCGTGGTTCTCACTCTCCCAGCAACCCTGGATTGGGTTATTTGGAACAGAGTATGTCCCCACAGGTGAGCACAGGAGCGCAGGCACTTTGTAGCTGCTGGAGTGAGCAGACATGGGTTATGCCTTTAATGGGACAAGGAAAGAGCAACTGACAAAAGCTTAACAAAATAAAGGAGAAATAAGGCACCAGTTAAACAGAGGAGTTAAGGAATGGGCAGAGTCGCTCTCTGTGGGGGAAGCTGAGCTTTAATCACAGGCAGGGTGAGAGGGCTGGAGGAAAGGGGAAGGCAGCACCAGCTCCTCAGGCATCAGAAAATGAGTCACAGTATGACACAGGGAGGTCGGTCCATCCCACTGCACACCACGCAGGGACACTGGAGTGACTGTTCTGAGACATTTCTTCATTTGACACTCCACCAAAACATCATGGTGACTTTCTTTCCCTGCAGCCTGGGATTGGAGATTAGCAGAAAAGGAGGGGAGGAGGCTCAAAAGAACAAGTGTGGCAGAAAAGTGGCTCAGCTTAATGCTTTAGTGTGTTTCAGTGGAAGGGGATGGGTGGCCACACTACGTCTCACAGTCTTCAGGAATCGTCGTAGTTATAATCAGCGATTGCTCAATCACATCTGCAGGGGAGAAGTTCTCGTTTGAGCAGAGTTTCTGTGCAGGGACCTCCTCAGGCAGTGGCGCACGGGCCAGCGACTCCACGATCACCTCGGCTGAGCCCACCTCCAGCTCTGGCGGCGGCTGCAGCACCACCGTCACATCCTTCTCATCCTCGATGATCAGGTTCCGCAGCTTCCGCTGTCGAGGGTTGTAGTTCTCCACTCGGTCGTGGATCTCCATGTGGCGCCTCAAGTGAGCCTGCAAAGGAAGGGGAATGTGGAGAGACCCAGTGAGGGCTGGCTCCCCAGTGCAGCAGGGGGTCCTGGAGCAGGGGAAGGCCTCACCTGCCGTGTGAATTTGTAGCCACACTCAATGCACTCAAACTTCCTCACTCCCTTGTGCCTGCGAACATGGACACGCAGCTGTTCTATCGCTGGGAAGGGAAATGAGAGCCTGTTGGCAGCAGCTCCATGTCATACCATCTCACAGCAATGCCAACCCACCCATGGGAAGGAGGCAGCTGCTGCAGAGCCCCACGAGAGCTGGAGCCCCCACGTTACCTTTGAATGTCTTCCCACAGATGTGGCAGAAGTGAGGCCGCCCCTCCTGGTGCCGGCTGGCGACGTGCCTCAGCAGTGGCCCCTTCTCCGTGAAACGCTGCTCACAAAACTCGCAGCTGAACGGCCGCTCGCCGGTGTGCGTCCGGTTGTGCTTGTCCAGACTCGCTGCCGTTAAGAGGGGCAGACACGGAGGGTGGCTGGTCAGAAGTACAGCCCATGCACCCCCATCCCAGGGGCTGTCAGGCTGGGCCAGGCTGGCCAGGAAGGCAAAAGCAACACGAGGAGCTGCCTGCTCCTGCTAAGGGTCATGAGCAACACCAGCTTGTCCCCGTTCTGTGCCATGAGAGCAGAGTAGGTGACAGGAACATGCTTTTCTTGGTATCAGCCTGCACTCACAAGAGCATGGCTTTGCTCCTGGGGAAGCTGCTTTCTGGAGGTCCTGGATGCTGGAGCCCTAACCCTGCCACAGCCAGGGGTACCTTGTGTCCGGAAGGTCTTGCCGCAGAGATGGCACTGGAAGGGCTTCTCGCCAGTGTGTGTGCGCAGGTGCATGTTGAGGTTGGCTTTCTGCGTGAAGGCGTGGTGGCAGAACTCACACACGTAGGGCCGCTCGTTCCTGTGGGCAGAGAAACGTCACCATCACCTCTGCCAGCTTCAGCCCCTTGGGTCTCAGCCCAGCACTTCTGTGAGGAGGGTGACTTTCAGCCAACCCCCAGGCCTGTGGGGCAGGGACTGCAGCCAGGAGAGCTAATAAGAGAGGACAAGGGTGACATTGTACCTGTGCTTGGCCTTGATGTGCATCTGGAGGCCGTTGCGGCTCGAGGCCCTGTGCCCGCACTCCTCGCACACAAACAGCTTCTCTCCGCGGTGCTTGAAGGCCTCGTGTAGGCGCAGCTCTGTCCGGGACAGAAAGCACTTGGAGCAGGTTGAGCACTGCAAGGCCACAGGAGAGGAGGGTGTTAGGGTTGGGGTACACCCACCCCAGACCCGCTCACACCTGGCCTTTCCCCAGCTGCTCCAGGGACCTCCCTGCAGAAGCCAAGGCAGCGCCACCAGCTCAGAGACACCCACTAAGATGGGACAGCCCAACAGAGATGAAGTGCTGGTCAGTGCTTGGATCTGTGGGCTGCTCCTGTACCCAATAGAGCCCATTTCCAGTAGCTCTGTGCCCCACCCCTCACTGAAAGAGCCAATCATAATGTGCCATTCCTTAGGCCAGGTCCACACTCAATATCACACCCTCCCCAAAACCCCTGGTCCCTACCGCATGGGGCTTGGGTGCACCATGAAGCTTTATCATGTGGCTCTGCAGGTCCTTCTTCTGCATGAACTGCTGTGAGCACGAGGAGCACTGCAAGACAGGAGAATGGGGTCACATTCCAGCTGCCCCCAAAGTGTGGTTTCAGAGCAAGGAGAGGACTGACAGGGGAGTAGAACACAAATTCCTGGTACAGCCATGGGAAGCCTTTGGCTGTGGTGCCTCCCTGGATCACACTTTGGTTCAGAGACAGAAAACAACCCTCAGTGGGATGTCATGGACCAGAAAAGGGAACTGTTGCGCTCAGCTCTTGATGGGCTGGGCTGCCCTAGAAGGGAAAGGTTCGCCCCTGCTCCGTGCCAGTGTCCAGCAGCATCCATAGGGATGTCGGATGCAGGCCTTGCTGACCTTGTATGGCATCTCTCCAGTGTGTGACACCATGTGCAGCCGCAGCTCCATCCGCCGCTTGAACACCTCCGGGCAGGCCGAGCACGTGAATACCTGTGAGAGACGGGGTGACATTGGCTTCCACAGCACCCAGAGCCTGACCTGGAGCCCACAGCTCAGCCTCCTGCCCAGCACATGGCACTGGCACCCAGCTACAGCATTCAGCCCGCACCCACAGGAGCTGAATCGTGTACAGTACAGTCCTGGTGTGCTGAAATACAAGTGAGGGCTGTGTTGTGTATCAGGCGTGAGTCCCAGCCGCAGGGGCCCTGGCTGTGGGGGTCCCAGCCATGGAACGTGCCACACCGTGCTGGCAGGGGTCTGTTTGGAACTGAGCGTGGGCTGGGACTGGGAAAAGGCTCCAATTCCCCTGCTGCCACATGGCAGCCACACTCCAGCCCAGCAGGGCAGCTCCTGGGCGTACCTGTTCCGATCGGTTCATGCAGTTCCTGGCTTCGTGTTCCAGGAGATTCTCTTTTCTAAAGTAACATTTGCCACACTTGGAACACTCAAATGGCTTCTCTCCAGTGTGTTTCCTTGGGGTATGCAAATACAGAATCCCATCACTGCCTGTCAACAGCATCTGCACAAACAGGCCTAGGAGGTCACAGGGAAGGGTGAGGTGGGTACTTCCCCCCACCCCCGCAGTGATACTATTCACAGCTGCCCTAAAGCTGCTTTTATGCCACTTTTGAGTCCCCTCAACAGCACAGCTGTCAGTGCCCACTGCACTCCACAGAACACCATTTCTGCAGGGCCAAGATTCTTCCCCAACACAAGCGAAGCAAAGCTTGAGCTCTCACTGCAGGGCCATGCCCTGCACTCGGTGATCCGCCCTGGAGTTCCTCACACAGCCCAGCCATGTGTCCCCAGCAACCCCAGAAACTGCCCCCCAGCCCGGGGCACTCTCAAAGCCCAGAAGGATTTGCCAATGCCCACCTGCAGCTAGCAGCTAGCGCAGCCCCTAAGGAGCCCACCACATGGCCCTCCTGAGCCACAGGAAGGACACTCACTGCAGCTCTGGGACATCTTTCACTGACATACAACTCTCCCACAGGCCAGAGCACCCCTAGGGGCAGAGGAGACCGTCCATGACCAGCCTGGGGATGCCGAGGTGCTGGGACTAGCTGGCAGAAAGGAGGCCGCCCTTTCCCCCCACCCCGGGAAGGGGCCGAGCCGTGGGGCGGCGCGCACGGGGAAGGAGAAGCCGGAGCGTTTACCTGTTGTGCACTTTAAGGTAATATTTGCTGAGGAAGGTTTTATGACATGTGGGGCACTCGACCGGCACCGCTGTACCTTTTCTGCTCCCCGGCGCCTTTCCCGGAGCGGGGGGGCTCTTTTTGCTCCGCAGCACTTTTTTCTCGGGAAGGGGCTCGGCGTCGCCGTCCCCCCGCCCGCCGCCACCCACCGCCGCCTCCTCCGGGGCTGAGGGGGAGCCCTGCGAGGGAACAGCGGCGTCAC